CCCCAAAACCCCAAAACCCCAAAACCCCAAAACCCCTTTCTAAAAATTATAGATTGAAAGCTAAATGTTGGATTTTACTCATGAGAATACTTATTCAGAGCTTTATCAATACTTTGAGAAAGATCTTTCCAGTCAGAAGCAGTCAGCTTTTCTCCTCTCCTTTCACGCTTGTGTAGTTTATGGTAGACCCATTCAAGCTCAGTCTTGATGTGCTTGAGATCTTTTATGTAGTCATCTTTTTGGTCCTCTAGATTTTTGACTTGGTTGTAGAACTTCTCAGCATTCTCTTGGATGTATAATAATTTGTAGTCTACTGTCTTACCCTCTCCAGATTGGGTTGTTACTTGCTGAGTTACAGACTCTGGAGCTACCTTTGGACTCAAGTCAAATATAAATCCGAAGAGCAAGACTAAAGCTTCAATTTAGATTTACTTACCAAGAATGAATAGGAACAAAATTAGTTGAGCAACGATTGCAAGGATTTTAATGGCAATCTGTTTAATCTGAGCATGATTTACATATTCTTCAAAGTCTTCATTCCAAAATTTGATTGCTGCAGCTTTAGTGCTAGCAAACAGCTCTGGGAGATACATTTCCTTTGTATCTATCGCAATAGTCTTAACTCTTGTGAAGAAAGCATAACATTTGTGCTTAACATTTTGCCAGAATTCCATAGATTTTATCTTATTTACCAACTTCTTGCCAGAGTAGAAAGCTAATGCCACTAAATGTGGGAACAGGTATGTTCTACAGATATACCAACTTGTTGTTAAGATCGGGAAGAGAGCTGCAAAAACTTTGTCAAAGAACGCTTCTAGCTTCTTTGCATTTCTTCTCTGAGCTATAAATTTATTTTGAGGATTTAAGTTCACAATCTTCTTTTTAGGAAACTTGAAAGATCTGATAGGTTTTTGATTGACAGGCTCGTCTTCAAGCTTCTGGTAGCCTTCGTACTTGTTTTCTTCGAAATTCTCCTCTTCCTCAGCAGCTTCGAGGAAAGGCTGGCTCTGTTCATCAGAAAACTTGAACTCTTCGGTAACATCGAAGCAGAAAATCTCCTTTTGTTGATTGGCTGATATCACATTCGTGATCTCAACGATCATCTCCTGCAGTTTTGACTGGAATCGAGTCGTCTGTGGGATCTGGTGGATGTAGTCATGCAACTTGTCAAGCTGGTAGTAGGCCTCGAGCAGGTCTTTGCCTTCAATTTCTTTCCGGAAGCCCTCAAACATAGCCAAAGACTTCTCGTACATAAACTTTGTTTCCTCTTTGAGGTACTGATCACAGGGACACACCTTATGAATGAGCATGTTGCAGTAAGCGTAGATCATCTTTTCAGGAGTGACCTTCACATCATCTTCAAGTTTGCTCAGAAGCTCCTCGTTGAAGTTGATCTGGTAGTAAGGGGTGTACTTCTTCATGGTTGTAATGGGGATGATCTCTTGCATAAGAGGATTGATGAACTTAAGGCTTCTGATATCAACATAAATAACCTTCATTCTTGCCTCGTCGTCACTTTGTGGGTCAATATTTGGTCGCTTAGTCTCCATTGTATATTTTAGCCAGAATTATATTATATTACAATATCTTTTGGCCAGTGAGGGGTTTTGGGGTTTTGGGGTTTTGGGG